GCGTATGTGCATTACTATAATACAGTGTTTCTCAACCTTTCTCAGCAAAGCTGTCTGGGGAATTCTGGGAGTTGAAGTCCAGACATCTTCAAGTTGCCAAGGTTGAGAAACACTGTATTATAGTAATGCACATACGCTATATTGCCAAAAGTATTCGCTCACCCACCCACATAATCAGACGCAGTTGTGAGCGAACACACTATATAATATAGTGTATATGTGGTTTATTTGTCCAAATTGGGTTGGGCTTCATGGGAAAAGAAAATGTTCCATTAAGGAGGCCTTTAGACTGCGCTTATACTTTTTAGGTATTCCTTGTGAATGTGGCCAGCTGCGAACAGCCATTGGTAAAATGGATAACCAAGTCACCCTGTTGACCACAGAGCTGAAGTTCATTAAAAAAGGTAGGAATGTTTATGGAAACATATCCCCCCCCCCTCCTAAATATAAGGAATTGCTTTCCAAAGAACCTGGCTTGCTTTTCAGTTGGCCAGCTGTGTCTGTCTTATATGGAATGCATTAAGTAAGTTTATAGAAATCCAAGTGGTCACTTTTCAGCCCTGCCCTCCCCCGCAGCTGTCGCTGGTGTGCGCGAGACAGATAATAAGACCTACCTGCTGGTGAAGGAGCAGAAGCGGTACGTGGACGCCCAACTCTACTGCCAAGGAAGAGGAGGGACACTGAGCATGCCCAAGGACGAAGCCACCAACAACCTCATTGCTTCTTACATCAACCAAGCTGGCCTCAGCCGCGTTTTCATCGGCATTAATGACCTTGAGAAAGAAGGCAGCTTCCTCTACTCCGACCGATCCCCCATGCAGACCTTCAACAAGTGGAGCAGCGGCGAACCTAATAATGCTTACGATGAGGAGGACTGTGTAGAAATGATCACCTCTGGGGGCTGGAATGATGTGGCATGTCACATTACAATGAATTTTGTATGCGAATTTGACAAAGAAAATGTTTAATAAAGTTTCCCCCCTGCCAGGCTCTCTATATGCATTTCTTTGAGGGAGGGTGAATAATTTGGGCAGTCCAACCATTGTAACCAGTACTCCAATTTCTGGATCGATTTTATATGGAAGTCGGTTCCTTGTTTATGAGATCCTTTCTATCAGTGTGTGAAACTATCCCAAGATAGTTTTATCCCCATCCATCTTTTATTCACATTTTTTTTCAAGGAATCCCTCCATCGACATACATAATTAAAAAAAGTTTTGTTAAAATTTCTCTTCCTTTTGTGCAGGCCTTGAGTATGGACCTTTCGCTCTATAGGTATAGTGAGGTACAGGTAAGAGACAGGAATGTAGGAAATAAACCTTATTTATTCGATATGGCTATTTATAGTTACCCATTATGGAGAAGGAAGGTATTATTTCTCATGTGTACTTCACTCTTATTTGGCATTAGGATTTGTTTTTGTTATTAATAAAACCATTTATGGTGTTTGGAAAACTAGGAAAACTCATTTTTTCAAGATGACTTAGAAGTAACTCCTCTTTTGTCATTTTACCTGCAGAAAACATGAATCCAAAGTGATTTTGCCTCAAAAAAATTATATTTGTGTGTTTGTGTATCAGTATATACACATGCAAGGGAATCACATTGTTTAGCTGTCCACGCAACAGGTAAAAGTGTGAAATATACAAGGCTGAAGGTATGTGGCTGACTGGGTAGGTTCATTCCTGTGCAATATACAAAGTGTAATAAAACTATTTTACAATAGCAAAGCTACTCAGAAATCCATTAATTTTTGAAATGAAGATTTTTATCATTTTCAATAGGAGTTTGCCAAAGTGCTTCCCAGCTGATTACCGCTGTGGAGAATAGACTGTGATCTGGATAGAAATTGGCACACAGGAACATAAAAAAACTCTTAAATGCAGCATTGAGAATTTATTGAACAACGGTAGTAAAATGTAAATATCAGGAAAAGCAATAAAAGATGTTAGTTTGCAAACTAACCCTAACCCTAATTGCTCCCAGTGTGATGGGATATAAGATGTTTAGAAATATATATTAGAATTGTACAGCTGTAAATATAATCTAGGTATTTCTAGGTATTTCAAATATCAATTCCCCTTAGATGGAAAGAGCAGTGATGACACAATTTGCATTCCTGAAATAAATATGGCCCATATTCAGGCAATGCTTAGCTGTTTGAAATCACTCAGCTTAAACTTAGTTCTGGTCCAGAATTTTGAGATAAATAAAAGATATACAATTCATTTAGGATATTTAAATAATATGTCTATGATTTCCTTTTTTACACAAAAAACTTACTATTTAAACAAGAAGTCATGTTGATGTGGTTTCATAAATGTATCTTCTGGAGACTAGTAATTTCTGAAATTTAGCACACTAGTTCTTCATATTCTCTAGTATGTTTAATATTTAACATTTAAAATATTTGCAGCTGTAGATTTCCTGGGCTGAATTGATTTAAGTGAACAGTCCAAGTATCATTTAATAATTTACAAGTTGACAGTAGGAAATTAAAAGAAACAAGATTATAGAAAGAATAAACTATTTTCTTGATTTAGGGTAGCTGGCATGCTTATATCTATATATGGTTGGGTTTAAAGAAATGAATTTAAGCAGATCTCTGATATCCATGTGGTTTTATGATGACGAGATTAGACCTGCGAAGTGTAATGAGCAGCAGATGGCAGCAAGAATTTAATGTTTTTAAAAATCTATAGGTTATTATATAGTACAATAGTTGTAATTTTTGTATCCAAGGTCTGATAATATAAAAATTTTAAATGGTTTGCTTTTATTCTTGCCACTGTAGGCAAGGAGAAGCTGAGTATCACCCATCCTGGTATTAAACAACAAAAATCTGAATGAATTTATCTAATGTTAACCATTACTCCATCTGAGACTAAGATTAGTTACAACTGTAAATTAACTCTTGTGAAGTTCAGTATCTGTAATTAGGATGACTGAATTCTTAATCCCATGACAGAAGCACATTCAACTGAATGTAATGTGCTTCTACCTGGGTTACAATTGAGGAGGTGCACGTAAAATGACTGAAATTAAAATTAAATTTAGCCTGTTCTTATTTCATCAGCACAAATAAATCCATACGAAGCCTGAGACAAAAATCCCAGCTGTAAGAAATGGATATTAATGTAATTGGCTTCCCAAGGTTGCTAGTGTTGGAAGTAAACTGGGATACGTTTATTAATGTAAACGGACTACAAAATTAACTCCAGCATGCAAACAAAACTTAAAACTGATTAACTGTCTCTGCTTGATTTTGGGGGAATCCAGAACCCTACAGCTTCCTTTCCACAAACAGTATCAGTGGCTTATAATTTCACAGCAGCACAAGGAAACAAGTCAGCTAACGATTTTGTAGACCTGTGTATGGATAACAAACTGCATATGCTTATTTAATAAACATAATTAATAAAGCTGTTCAATTTTGATATTTGCTGTGATTGATTATAGTTCTGGTTTAGGTTCACCTTATTATCTATATTAAACTTATCTACGTTAACCTACATTGTTATGGCATTTCTAAATAAGTCACTGAATCAGCTGGGTACATTAGATAAACAAAACATTTTCAGTTAGCACGACTCTTCCTTGCTTTCCTCCACCACTATACCAATGAGTCCTCACAGACTGTTTCAGTGTGCTGTTATAGGCTAGTAGTACAGATGTTAGATAAGGACTTGGGGGACCCACAAAGCAGATTTGATGAATGGGGAGATCTTTAGTTCTTAACTTATCTCACAAAATAATTGTGAAAAGTGAAGTTCTATGTCCTAGTGCTATTTAGTGCTTCAAATTCATTTCCGTAAAAGAGCTTCTGGGAATGTGAACATAATTAAAGNTATTCTATTAAATGGGGTTTTTTTGTGTGTGTGTTTGCTTGATAATAGGTATCTACCCCATATGAAAATATGCTATTTCTTATTGGTCCAGTCTTTACATCTTGACTCCTTATTTAGAAATCACACAGGAAGTAGTGTACCTTTGTTTCCATATCGATTTGCAAAGTTGAAACTTTATGGTTAGAAAAACCACTGCTTTGCTCAGTCTGCCTGAACAATTGGCAGTGTTTTGCCCCTCAAAAAACCCGGTCTGCTAAAATCTGCCACATCAGGGCTAAGAATTATGCATGATTCTTGAGTTCTAGCAATAATTGCCCTTTTATCAAGGAAATGGGAACGCTGAGATATAAAACTAAAAAAAAAAAAACTGAAAGCCCGAAGGAAAAAACAATCCCAAATTTGTCCATGCTTCAGCATAGTCTCTCTAATTAAAAGCTGCAGTCATAAATTGGTGAAGGAGGTTGATGAAGAAACGCAGTGAAGCGCAAAATGGCCAACCTATGAAGACTGCGGCTAATGTAAAATCTCTAAAAAGTCATCAGTGTTTGAGCTAAACTGCCAGGAGGAGGATGTCTCCCTGGCTTAGATGCTCACTAATGAGATATACAGTCTTTCATCTGTTGGCTAAAACCCAACGTGTCCTTGACGTCTATGCAATCCGAGTCTTAGTACTGCAAACCAATCTTATTTCCTCTGGGAGGTGTTGGGAGAAGTTTCTGAGAGGACTAAGAAGTTGAACCACATCATCTGAAATGACCGTATGTCTGAGATGCTGTTACCAAAATCTAGATAGCATGATAGATAGAATTAAATTATGAACATAATGCCGCTGAATTTTGAATAATTTGTTTGGCTTTACCTTATGTTTTATTACATAATAGGGGAAAATGGAGAAAAAGGGGAAAAAGGTGCTCCAGGCCGTCCTGGGCGAGTTGGGCCTCCAGGGGAAAAAGGTAAATCTTATTTTAAAAATGAATTAAGCATTGGATTAATATTGTTTAATAATAAACGGAGAATATACTTTTTGTGTATATTTTCTTAATGCAGTGTTTCTCAACCTTGGCAACTTGAAGATGTCCGGACTTCAACTCCCAGAATTCCCCAGCCAGCGAATGCATTCGCTGGCTGGGGAATTCTGGGAGTTGAAGTCCGGACATCTTCAACTTGCCAAGGTTGAGAAACACTGTCTTAATGTCATAATTGCATATATAGGTTTGTACCTAATTAAACTCAATCTTAAGTTTTTGATCTATTAAAAGCAGCATGCACGTGGAATGTTTTATTTGAGAATTACTGTATATTGTGTTATTGAGTTTGTAATGGAAAATACAAAATATTGAAATATTTAGATCTGTTCCTCCTCTTTGGGTGTCCTGAATTAGGAAAGTGTAACCAGCAATTTGGGGGGGGAGGAGGCAGGGGGCGGATAGAGAGTGGACAAGCTAACAGCAGCCCAAAATGACCCAGAGTTGCTGAGCAGACTTCACCCTAATTACAACAGCAACCTCATTATTGTGAAAGATGCCAGATCCTGGCCCAAATAATAATTGTTTCTGGAGAAGAGGAAAAGTCACTGCTTGAAAGAATTAAGGAGTTAAGAATCACACTATCATCAGGGAAAGTTGTTTTTTGTGTTTGATAAATTGCAATTCCATATTTAGCCTTATCTCCATGTTCCATAGCTTAGGTGCTGTTGCAAAAAAGGCGTATCTTCTGGACCCAGAAGATAGGCAGAGGGACCCGAAACATGCCCATCCAGCTTAATCAGATGGGAAGGATAGAAAAGATTGGGAGAAACATCTCTCAAGTAAAATTTTCCAAAAGCAGCATCGTTTCCAATTCTGATTTGTTGCCTCTGAAGCTTTAAGCTGTGAGAAAACGACACGGGCCAATAATAAAGATGGATTCATTTTATCTGAAGCTTTTTTTGTGTTTAGAAACATGCAGCCGTGCAGTATTCTCTTCTTTGAATTATCATTCTCGCGTTAACTTTTTCTCTTTAGCGTGTATACTCCAAGCCAATAGGATGCACTCTCCCTGTGGACCATAACTGGAAGTAATCCTTTCCACACAAATTCTTTTCCTTCCCTTTCTTTGCTCTTCCACATTCCGTTATTTTCAGCTTTAACTAGATTGTTTTAATTAAGACAGGCTATAATGTAGACAGATACAATGTTAGACGTTCATAAAAACAGAAGTCCTTTTCATTTTCCTTTGATTGTTTTTATATTATAGGGGAAGTGGGAGACAAAGGGCAGAAAGGCAGCCTGGGGCGACATGGAAAGGTTGGTCCCATTGGCTCAAAAGGTATATTCTTCTTCATTCTGTATTAAGCTTTGAAAAATATATTAAGTTTAATTTTCACTATGTGTGTGTGTCTGTGTCTGTGTCTGTGTCTGTGTACACATACACGGTTTCCCCAAAAATAACCCCTAGCTTGATTTTTACACATGCACCCAATATAAGCCCTACCCCCGAAATAATCCCTAGTTAATACTCCACTCGCTCCATTGCACCTGGTTGCAAATTCAAGCTAGGGTGGGGATGGGTGTGTGTGAAGCTACACACCCACTTGCCTTCTTGACAGTTGCAGCCAGGCCTCACACACCCCGACACCTGCCACACCTTGCCGGCCCAATTTTTTCTGTGGCTGCTAGCCACCACTTGTGCGCATTGTGCCCGACCTCCATTTCACTGTCAGAGGCCTTCAGGAAAGGCCTCTGCAACCCAGAATCGAGCTCCGGATTGACGTGTGCGCCCCCTGACTTCTGTTTCACGGTCAGAGGCAACGTCTGAGCTCATTTCTCGGCTGCAGAGGCCTTTTCTGAAGGCCTCTGATGGCGAAATAGAGGCCAGGGGCGCTGGATGCAAGCAGTGGCAATCATCTCCAGAAGAAATGGGCTGGCAGTGGCCACACGGGCTCCTACTGGGCGGGACTATTGGTGCCGCCACCGTGAGATGAGACAGTGAAGACATCCCCCCAAAATAAGACATAATGCCTCTTTTGGACTTAGAAATAAAAATAAATGTATGAATTTGAAATAATATAAACATATGAATTTGAGTTTGTTGATATAGGTCAGAGAAAATTATAGATATTATTTTTTCCTAATTGGCACATTTTTTGGAGTATAAGACGCACCAGAATATAAGACATACCAAGATTTTGAAGAGGCAAATTAAAAAAAAGTTTTTGCACTTTGCAGACCTCAAAAAAACGGCCTTTCCCCCCTCCAAAAGGGCATGAATAGCCTTTAGGAGGCTTGTAGAGTGCTCCTGGGGGCAAAATTGAGCAAAAAAACAGTCCACTTTTTGCTCATTTCTGCCCTCCCCAGCCCCCAGGAGCACTCTGGAAGCCTCCTAAATGCTATTTTAGTGAAGGGGGTGGGGTTTCAGGAGGCAAAAAATGCTGTATTCAGTGTATAAGACACACCCAGATTTTCAGCCTCTTTTTTGAGGGAAAAAGATGCATCTTATACTCCGAAAAATGCGGTAACTGATTTATTAACCCTGCTAACCAGTATATTTTAAATTAGTATCAGGAAAGATGTAATATGTTGATTAAGGCTTATTGTCGTATCCTTCAAGACTTATTTTTATGATGGGTCATCACATGAGCAGTTCCAGTTCATGTGTTATCATACTTCAACATTTTAGTTAAGCCCACAAGGTCCCTTATTCTGCATCCAGGATAGATAATAACTTACTGGAGTCCTCCCAGCTTCACTCCACTTGTGGTTTATCTAGCATTTGAGCTCTGCAATAAGATGGGACCCAAGGAGGACTTGGCTTCCAGCTTTTACTGATTAACAGAGTTGGAAGGGACCTTGTAGGTCATCTAGTCCAACCCCTTTGTCCAAGTAGACCGTACACCATTTCTGACAGAAGGCAGTCCAGTCTCTTTTTGAAAGCTTCCAGTGATGAAGCTCCCACAACTTCTGAAGGCAACTTCTGTTCCAGTGGTTGATTGCTCTCAATCATTACAATAATACTGGTATAACTAGGGAAATATGTGAGATAATGCAAGGGTGATATTGCTTCTCCAGACAAACCTTTGTATTCTCACACATTAATACAATGTTTAGAACAGCCCAGACAGTCATTTATTTCGCTTACTTTTTCTTGTCAGCCAGTATTATTGTAATGATTGAGAGCAATCAACCACTGGAACAGAAGTTGCCTTCAGAAGTTGTGGGAGCTTCATCACTGGAAGCTTTCAAAAAGAGACTGGACTGCCATCT